TGGCGCTGGGCGCTTTAACCGGGTTGCTCTACAGCGGTTGTAACCAGAAAAATCCAGGAGCCAGAAGAGATCACAGCAAAAAATATGTGTATCGTTTTCAAGCCACTTACAGGCTGGGGAGTGGATTTCCTTTCTGCCAGCGTACACGCGCCGCGCTCGGTTCCACGAGTGCCTCATTAGGGCTGGTGCTCAGCTGTGCGCGCCGTCCACCTCGCCGGGCCGGCGCAGGGGGAGCAGAGCCACAGCTGGTACAGCTGCTGCACCGCAACCTCTGCTCTTTTTATGAAGCTAAAAGAGGGTTCTTGACTGTGCAAAATACCAGTTGCTTGATTCTTTTCCAATTGGGCCAAGCAAAGGTTAAGAGAGTTTGAGCCTGTGTCCGTAGACTTCCCCCAGCGTATACTTTTCTCAGTGGTAATTCACTGTTTGGTACCTGCCTTCAGAAAGGGAGCTGGACGGAGGAAAATGGATAATGAAGGCGAGTGCAAAGTACTGGAGAAAATTAGGAATGAGTGTGAATGTAAAAAGATAGGGAAAAAAAAAAACGCGTTAAACCCTAGCAGTCTCGCCTCGGTTTATTTTGCTCTCTCCTTTATAGTCATCTGTGATGCGTTTTTGTACTTTTACGTTAAGTGGCTTTGAGCCTTTTGCTCTAAAATAAGTCTCCCCCTCCTATTCTCACCTTGCGTAGCAGTTAGGAGAGGTTCTGCAAGTCTGAAACGCAGCTGCTTGGAGGTTCTCGTGGCAACGGCACTGAAGGAAAATAATCCTAGGAAAAATCTTTCTAAAATGAATAGAGTGAAAAAAAACCCAACAATTCTATCTACCGTAGACGGTGTTTAAGGAAATACCTTTGTCTGGTATACTGATATTTCCAGCGTTATGGACCAACCCTGCCTACTGAAGAAAAAACTTCGGTCTAACCCCCTCTTCCCCAGCTTGAAACGTGACTGTTTTAAATGTAGCTGTTTATGTTTGCAGCTCTTCAGTTTACCTTCATAGCTCTCTCCTTTTATCGCAGGGCCTTGCTGTAAATTAGCAGTTTATGCTGCATTGGTTACAATTAATATCGCTGCTGCTGTTACCAATAAAAAGACATATCGTAAGTAATTTTTTTGTGGTTTCCTTGGTAGATGGTAACAGCACAGAGGAGAAGCAAAACACCGAAGCAACTGAGGGCCAGAGCCCAGAAGCAGGTTTGTGCTGAGTTCCTTAAAGGACTTTCTTAGGTTTTATCCACCTTGGTGAACAATAACCTTAGTCAATGCTATTGACTGAAAGTGTTTGTACGTTTTCACCAGATTAACTCGGGGCTTGTGCAGTTCTCCCATGAGAGACCCCACCGCCATTCATTATGAATGAATGTATTGCAACGTAGGAATGCAGACTTTGCTGTTTAAGTTACACGCTCCACAGTCTCTCCTTAAGGTGGAATATCTCTAGATAATCCTCTGACTAGAAAGAAATAACTTTCCCTCTGTGTCTATGCTAGAGTAGCACTCTGCGTAGCGTAGAAGCTGGGGGAAAGGAAATTTGGGGAAGGAGGAAGCAATCTTCCTTTATTAAAAACAGCGCTTTTCAAGATTTTTAGAGGTATTTTCAGATTTTAGTAAATAGTCTACATAAGTCTCGGGGGTTATGAAGATTTGAATCTATACAGAAAGATATTACATATCTGCGAATAAATGTCAGAGTTCACAAGCAGTGGGTTTTGCAGATGGCATGCTTATGAATTATATGTTACAAGCTAGTAGGTTCAGTATTTTAAAATACAATGTCACTCCATGTTCATAATAGATTGTCTGTTATTTTTTCTGTTTCTGGCTGTATTTTTCATCCTACCGAACTCTGTTCAATGCAAATGACAACTAGAATTAAGCAGTTATCAAAATAGCTGAAGTGACAGTCAAAATAGCTACAAATCCCCTTATTTCTTAGGATTTGTTTTTGCAGTGTTACATGCAACACAATGCTTTTGATGTTGTTTTTCTTCTCCTGGTGGAGCGGGGTGTTGCCTACACATACTTAATTCAGAGAGCGAGAAACAGTTTTATACAGAACTATTTTTTTAATCAGTCCTGAAAACTGCTATCAGTATCTGGAAGACAGAGCTGAAGAAGGCCAGCCAGGCCAGCCAGCCAGGTCATCTGGCCTGCTTACTGCATCGTGGCTCTTTCCAGATGCTAAATTCATTTGAGAACCTCCTTTTTCGGTCCCATGCAGTGGGTGCTACAAATGTGAAGGTGCTATGTTTCTTCAGGGTGTCCTGTAGACCGGTCTTCTGCAACGTGATGTTGGCAGCTGCTGCCGTCCCTGAGTGCTTGAAGTCCTGCCATAGGTCGTGTCCTCTTAACCACCTTTTCTTTCCAGCCCCGCGAGGGGCAATGAGTCGCACTGTCCGAATCCAGACTCTTTTTTGAGCCTCTGACTAGGCAGGAATGTCTTTGCCTTGGCAAAGTCAAAATTTTAACTGTGCCAAGCACTGCTTGGCTTCTTGCTCAGGGGAGCTCAAACTGCAGAGGTTTCTGTTTAACCCAATTACATTACTGTCTACAAGTGCCAAATATAGCCCACTATACCCATCAACTATATTTGCGCTGTCTTCTGATGGGATACATATTTCCCTGGTATTGACTCATGAAACAGCTGGATTGAGTGATCTACATCTCATTTTTCCCAGGAGAAGTAAAGAACATGTAGCTCTCTAAATTATTACTCTGCTACTGGGGGTGTCTTAAATGCATTATATTTTTTCCAGAATTGTCATGAGCTGCCAGACTTGGTTTATCGGAGATATCGTATGTGTTCTTTTACTGTCTAATACTGGTAGACATGTTTTGTAACTCTCATGGATAGCGTCAAAGAAAAGATCCAGACTTTTCAAGTCCCAGATCCAGAAAACATCATAGCTGAGGAATTCTGGAAGATAATGTTATTAAGTCTATGTGTATTCCCTGAGTCACCTCCTCTGCCATAGGCACACAGAGGAGTAGTATAGAAAAAATCATTTGTCTTTACATTTATCCTTACTGACTCACATAGTGATAACAACAATTATTTTGAGTCATTAAAATAAAGCTAATAAATTACTACTGCATTCCCATTTCCTCATTGTGGAAACAAACATCATCAGGAACTTCTAGGACTGCTGATTCTCTACCTTTTGCTTGGCAGTAGGAAATGACCTGATTTTGCAAGATACATGGTTGCATGCCTAAAACACTTTTAATCACTATGAATGATAATTGTCAGGAGCAGTCTCTTCAAATATTAAAGTGCTTATTTTCTAAACCAAAAGGCATTAGCCTTCATCTGAGCATGACAAATCACAAAAGCATCACTTTAATATTGTAAAAGAAAATGTAGGAGAAAAAGTAGAAGCAGTGTATTCTTACCCAGGCCATTACATAGAGATTTATATATTCATGTTATACAATAGATGAAAAAGCTAGTTATAGTGTACAAAGATTGGCCTGAAATTGTTCAGCTGTTATTGATTTTTCATTTTTTTAAAATCTGGCCTCTATGCTATCATCGATGAACTTCACAGTTAACACATGGAAAGCAGACAGGTGAGGTTCAGAGCTCTTGCTTTAAACTAGTTTAAATAAACCCTGTATGTCTATGTGACTATATTAGGAACAATTTTTGTCAGAAACATGGAGAAGTCTTTTGAAAGAAACGTAAAACTGAAAACAAAAACAAATGTTACTAAAGGTTTTTGCTTATAAAAATTGCCAAGCAAAAGCAATACTGAAAATAAAAAAAAAAATCAATTAAATTCAGATATTAGTTTTGTCTGTGAAATATCTAGTTGCATGAACATGTTCTACCATCAAAAAAATCTATGTGCCACTGATATTCGGGGAGTTACTAAATTTAGGGTCTGATTCAGGAAAGCTTCTGTTTTCAGGAAAGCATTTGCATTTAATTATTTCATTTCCAACGGGATTCGTGGACATGATTAAAGTTAAGGACAGGCTTAATTGTTTTTCTCAAAATAGATGGATTTAATGAAAATAAGACTCTCAGAGCAAATAGCAACACCAGCCTACCCATGCAATTGATAGCTGTTACTCCCCCTGTATTAAGGGAAATTGAAATATAGACTTGATATGGTAGTATTGTAACGTAAGCTTTACCCCAGCTTAAGGAAGACAATCAGACCAGTAATGCCTAGAGAATGCAACGTGAATGGATGGAAGGGCTACAAATCAAGCCCAATACTAGTATCTTGCTTCTTAGTCACAGAAACCACTGGATAAGGTGTAACCCTTTTCTCAGTAAACCGGTTCATCAATTTGATATCTAATGAATAATGTCTCTCTCATTTCCTTCGTTCTTACAGATGAGATGAAGCCTACAGCTGTAGCCAGCCTATCATCATCAGAAGAAATAGAGCTGAGTGAGGATAAAGGTACAGACTGCAAATTGCATTTCAAAGTATCCAGTCCCAAGAGGACGTTTCATAAAGCCTTATTTTCCTTTGTCTGAAAATTGCCAAAATCACAGTTAAACAACACAAGAATAGATAAACGCTTGGATTTTCATTTACAAAAGTCTTTGTAATGAACTACTTGGCTGCAGCTGTTCTGCTGGTGGGAGAGATGCCATGAATTCCTGAGTCCCCTTGTTATGGAGGTAATACTAAAATATCGTACGTGACACATCAGAAATAAGCCTCAGGCTTGGGCTCACTAGGACGTATCACAAACGTAACGTTAAGCATTCGCATCTGTCTCAGCAGTATTAGCTCCCTACTCAGTGGTTTCCTGATGAGAAAAAGAAAAACACAATCACTGTAAACACATCAGGAGGAGACAGAAGGAGGTGAAGTCATATCGGAGAGGGAGAAAGCAATGTTTATCTTGTGCAGACTGTGCTGGGCACTCAGATCATTTAGTTTGTGATAAATATTTAAAAGTGTCACGGGGCCAAATGACAGGGAGTTTAGGAAACAAGAAAGAGGGATGATCTAATTTAAATGTTTCAAGCTGAGATTTTTCCTGTGGAGTTGCCGGTGTACAGATAGGAACCAGTGCACAGCCGTACTGTTTTTGATACTCTTATGATATCACACCATTAATTGCTTGTGCTGGTCTACAGTTTTTGGCATTTTTGCAGGGCTATGTCAACAAAAAGCCTGAGTGATTTATAAAATGTTTGCTACTGGTAATTCAAAACAGGAGTTAGGCTATCTATAATAAATACAGTCCCTCAGTACTGCCTTCAAGAAAGACTAACAGAAAATTTTAATGCATTTTATTGAGATAACATTATTATTAACATCCATTAACTTATTTATTTTAAGAGATTTAATGTTTAATTCAGTGTCGCTGCTTGACTCTCTTCTCATTTTTCTAGATAAGTGTGAGGGGGTGCGAGAGCTTGCCCTTTTGTTCCAAGCGAACACGCTAAAGAGCCTGCATGCTTACCTGATTATGAGTTCAAAGCCTTGTGCGGGCTGATTTAAGTGCTCTCTCAACTGATTGATTGATACTGCAGGGGAAAAAAACCCAGAAACCCTTGCCAGAGCACTGGTTTTTTGCTATTCAGATCTTCACAGATTAAGGTCATGGCAAGGCTAGCGGAAGGCAGAAATTGTGGTGGCTTCAGCCCTAACGTAATTGGTGATTACCTGTCAGTCATCTCTCTTTTTGCTGACATTTGGCCTGTTTATGAATTCTGTATCTATATGGTCACCCCTTGGACATGTTCTTCAAGTTTTGCAATGTGAGGGCCATGCCAAATTTTTGGCTGTGGATTTTTTTTGCTGTCTGCACTCTTACTGAAGATCCCAACATTTTGGTATTACTGTGCCTTCTTGTTCCTGACTGTGAAGTCAGTGCCTTCTCTTATGTTTTTCAGTGACGACACCGGTCGTCTCAATGTGCGACCATTCCAGTTTTTTTGACCCATTGTATTAGGTGTCTCTTCTCAGGAAAGCAGCCATCTTTCTGTTACGCTTCTTGCGGTTCCTGTAATGTTTTAAGAGAATAATGTCTTCCCCTCTTCTCTTGAGAGGCTAACAGAAGAAGAGGTACTGCCTTCAGAAGTCCTTTGGTAGTTAGTCTTTGGTGTCCTTCTTCTCCTCAAAAATAAGATGGAAAGCATCTAGTAGGGAAAAAAGAGCGAGACAGACTCTCCTCCATGTATTTTGTTTGGGAAGTAGTACTAGTACTAAATGGAATGGTTGGGGGGGGGGCATATGGTACTTAGCATGTTTAGAGTTTGTTTAAGAGTTTTTTAAAAGTAAACACAAATTTTGAAAGACCAGGGTTTAATTCTTTTTTGTATTAGTGTATTTTCAGTTTTTCAGTTTTAGATTTTGAGTTGTTTTACAAGGAACTCTAGTGTTACAGAAAACTTTCTACCTCTTTGGAAATGGCACTTTTACAAAATATTGGCGTTTCTGAAAACACTTGCTGCTCCCAAAATAAATTTCAATCTTCAGATTGGTTGCCCGCGGAGCTAAGGCAGCTAAAACATGCCAGATGCTGGAATATAGTCATTTCTGCAGTTTATCTTTGACTAAATGAACTGGATGTAAAGCATTTAAAGAAATTGTATTTTTCCAGTCCATTCATTTAATTACTGCGAAAGGAGGTTCGTGGTAAATAAATCAAGGCTACGTGCTTCCGAAAAGCATAGTTTAAACCACTTGGAATATGAGGTTTCCAAGTCTGCTATGGAACTATAGCAGTCTTTCCAATGCCAGTTCTGATGGGGGCACTGGAATTAGTATTTTGACTCCAATGAGCATCAACTAGTAATTTTTCTGCCTATTCTGTCATCTGTGTCTGGGATCAGAAAATAGGAAACGCATTAAAATAGTTATCTTTAGTTCTAAAGCATGGGGATACTCAATCCAGAAACTGCTCTCAGTTTGAAGGTCATGCTTTTGCTTGATGTAGCTCTTAACAAATATTACCCATTGCAGACTGTCATAAATAGGGTTCTGCCAGTCCTGTAGTAGTAAGGCTCAACACGTTTTGTTAGGGTCTTTGATGGACGATGGGAGTTTAATTTTCCTGACAAGCCTTGTTCTAATTCAGGAAAAGCTTCCGAGTCAGAACGGCGCTTAAACCTTGCTGGGAGTTTATTCAAGTGTTTCTTTCCTGCTAGTCCAAGGGGCTTGATGCACATACATCACTGAAGTCATGAAGTTCAAATATTTTTTCTTACCTGGGTTATCTTTATCAGGATTTTGGGGGGGGGGCAATTTTAAAGAAAGGGAAGGATGAGAACGTAAAGAGATTGTTCATAAGAAGAGTGTTGTTGAACAGGGTAGGAACAATGTTTTGAGGGGCTCTGGTTAAAATGAAAACCTATTGCGAGACTACATTTCCTGTACTGTTTTGAAAGTATATCTCTTCCTTTATTAATTCTAGAAGAGATAGTAACACTATCCAGGAAAAAAAAAAGTTCATTTGGGCCCAATTTGCATGTGGCCTTTGAACAGATGGAGTTTTTTGGGTGCTCTCTCTTTCCTCAGAAAAAGAGCAGGACAGTCACATTACAAGAACATCAATATCTTTGATGTTATGCCGTGGAGGTGTCCTCTTATTCGAGTCTGTGCCAAGTTTCTATTTCCAGAGTCTGGAAATACCACAAAGAAATGTTGAAATTTTACCCTTGAAAACTTGCATGCATATCTATTAGCTCTTGCTGGGCGAGCTGGCATCTGTAGGCAGCGCCTTCGCAGTGCTTCATTACTGTGCATATGGAAGTAGGACCTTTACGCACAGAGTGTTTCAAGTTAGAGATGCTGCTCTTTATGAAGTGTAAAGACAGAACAAAGTGATTAAAGTCATTAGTGTTTTTGCTGCGGATAAAAGACATGTCAGACAGGCTGCAGTCTAGTGTGCCTGTCCGCACAAGGTTGTGCTGGGACTACCAACTCGTTTTAAAAGGACCATATAGTCCGTACCGTTATGTGGTAATGATGGCAGCGAGGATAGGTTTGAACCTGTAATTTTAAAAAGAGAGAGTGTGTGTAGGACTGTTTTGCATCTTGGTCCCAGTTACCTGTCCTACTAATTACTCTTTAACCTAACTTATTAATTGGGCTTTCTGGCAGAAAAATATTAAAGAAACTGCGGATTTAGTACAGATGAAGAGTGAACTCCACATTACGGAATCATGGGAAAGTTTCTGTTCACAATACACTGATTTTAATTCATTAGCACTTAATAAGAACTGAATTTTCATTTGAAGGTCAACTAAATTAAATCATATGCTAATTAATTTTAAAAATAAAGTACGAATTAATTATTTCCAGGTGTTCACCAAAGTCTGTGTTCCTGTGGGAATGCCATTTAAAGCAAGTCACTGTTTTTCTACATTCACTGAAGTGGAGTCGGATTCAGTGAGCTGGAGGGTTTCTGTTGTCCTGAAACAGAATTAGGTATATACCTTGGCTAGAGTTTAGCCCTAAAAACTCACTTTGTGCAGTGCAGAAGCCTGCAAGTATCCTGCCCGTAAAACGTAATGGATCTTAAAATTCCTGTTTGTCCAGCTGTAGTTCTCACCATGGAAAAATCCTGATGTGCTGAAGACATAAACGACCGAGAAGGGATAAACTGAAAAATACAGCTTTTCAAATTCAGGGGAGCTGTATAAATCGACATTAATTAGAAATTAATAAGTGGGTGAGAAAGATTGACTGAAAGGCCAGTATATTCAAAAAGAGGTGTTTAAAATCAGCTTTTAAGTATATATTAAGACATATAATGAATGACCTGATTTTCAGACGTGCTGAACACTCAGCAGCTACCAGTGAAATGTTTTTACTTCACCCTTGGGCTATGATTAGACCTAGAAAATTTCAGCCTGAAAAATTTCAATTATAGGTAACTGAAAAAGAACCTTTATAATGGAAGAGTTTCAACACCGCCACTCTGGCTTGTGGCTCCGCGTGCCAGCTACAATGATAACGTTTCTCTCTCTTGGGTAGAATGATTTCTATGAAAGCAAATCGACTAACAGAAATTGAATGGTGTGGGGTTTTTTTGTTTTTTGGTTTTTTAACCGGGTAAATAACCGTCCCTAGCCAACTAAATGCCTTTTTTTCCTAACACCGTTCATAACAGTTGGTTTTAGCTTTAGATAATGCTAGTTACTCACTTTTCCTTTGAATCTGACTGATCTGCAGCATCGTGTTTCCAGACTGGGTCCAGACCATAAACCACTCAAGACATATTTCTCCTCCGCTATTTGCTAGGGTAGGCACCACAACAGCTGACACTGATCTACTTAGCTGGTTTATTTAGATCCTACTTATTTTTAAATATTAGCTGACCTGAAAGCATCCAGCTGCGCTCCCGTCAGTCCGACAGGAGTGCGCCCTTCTTGTACCTTCGGTCGCCCACGCAACCATCATCTCCTCGGAAGCGTCTAACGGAGACAGCAAGGTTTTTCTTGGCCCTTTCCTTCCACGGTGCCTCGTACGGCAGGCCCCGTCCCTGACGGCAGCAGCAGGGTGCCCATGGTTGTCACACCAGCTGCGCCCGAAATTTCAGCACTTGAATTTTTGCGGATGGAAGGTGAGGCTAGAGGAGATGCAGCTGGAGGAGCGAGGGAGTGAGAGCATTACTCGGTGGACCCCACCTGCGGAGATGAACTGCCTGGTCTATTATCCAAACACTTGTAAAAATCTCTCTACAGGTTGTTGCACCTAAAAAGGTCTGTTTTACCAAGCCGTATAAACTTGGGCTCAAATAAATCTAATCTGTCATAAAGATAGATTAAAATGAAATCTTGGTGAATATAAAAATAACATTTTAAAGTCAAAGCTCAAGAATATCTCCCTAACTTCTCATAAATCACCATTTTATAGTACTTCATTTTAACACATTTTCCCCAGTTTATGAGGCAAAAGAATACCCTAATCATGTGGCAGCCTCTGTGCACACCATTACCTGTAATTTTAGACGCCTGCTTGATTTCTTTCAGTCTGGAAATACTCCAGTCATTTTTCACAGTATCATGCTTAAAAAATAAAATGCACTGAACCTTTTTCTTTCATAATGGCCAGCTTTTCCCCTCTTTAATCTTCTTACAGCTTCCTAAAACATGGTGATTTATCTGTGCTGTGTGTGGGACCCAGGTGTGTTACACATTAGAAATGACTCAGTAAATAAGCCACTAGCTGGGGAAGTGAATTTTAAAAGATCATTAAAACCACTTAACATTCAGATCTTACCATTTCTCCTCTTCCTAAGTATTTGCAAAATTCTATTTGAGCAACGCTGTTTTATGCAGTCAAAAAAAGTATGAATGACATGGTAAAGGATGAGTTTTTATCCACTATTTAGACAAATAGTGTCTGATTATTATCAGGAAGGTGGGACTGATTGTTTATTGCAGGCTACGCAGTTTTCCTAGAGCTGAATTCAACAAACAGTTGATACATGGAAAAATGAATAATATACCTGAGGAGTATTCTGACCTGCTTACTTAAAGTAGAAATATTTTCTCCCAGGATTTTTCAAGGCTGGGTTTAATTCCCAGGTGCATTCTGCCAGGCAGCCCCACAAAACAACAGAGAGATCCCCACAGCGGAGAGATGCTGAGCACTGCAGCGGTGCGGATGGGACCAGGGAGCCGGGGCAGAGCAAACGCTCCTTACGTGGGTATTGCCGCTGCAGCCACCAAGTAGAAGTAGCCCTGTATGGACTGAGGGGTCAGATGCTTAGACTTGAGCAAGTGCTCCGATGCTTCGCATGCAGTAGATAAGTGAGCGATCTTTGGTTCGTTTATGTCATTAAATGTCAAGTTTGGTTTGTTCGTGTGTGATCAGTGATGACATTAGGCACTGTGTTACAGTGCAATATCAGAAACACTGATTTTTTTCAGTTCTGCCTGAAGGAATACTAATCCTTACTGTTCCGGTTTGGGATTATCCTAGGTAAATGGTGCCCAGCCTGTGCTATCAAAAGTAAGATACTATGTTGTGACTTAATATACTGACTTTGATTCTGCAGTGCAACTTGACAGATAAGTAGCTGTGTTAGACGAAGGCTACTACTCTTCTACTCCATTTAAAAAATTGAGGTCAGCTCGCTGGTCCAGGAGAGATGGATGAAGGCTTTAGGGATGGCCAGAGCATTTTTAAGCCCTGGGATTGTTTAGGACTATGCTGGGGTTTGTGCTCAGTTGTATATGGCTATAAAGGGCTACGTAAAGGCAATGGACCAGTTGTTCCTGAGGACTGCCACGACCCTGCTATGAAGACCTGCAAGCAGAAGGTAGTATATAATCTGCAGATGTGGGATTCCCACTGCTGCTTAGCCAATGAAGCGGAGGTAGCACTCTTGCCTAGTGTGCAATCTGAGAGCAGCTTTTATTGACCTGTGTATTTAGTCTTACGTTTTTGCTCTCGCCTGGCTCAGATTTTCCTCATAAATCTGGGTTTATTCCTTTGCTTTATTTTGTTCTTGCTAATCCTAAAAGTAAATCTGTCTTTGGACCTTTTGGCTTGAATATTTGCTCTAATATTTGCATTTGAAAAGAAGAAGTCTTTGATATGGTCTTGACCTTAAAGATTTCGGAACCCCTAATCTGTACACTAGTGCAATGACTGATCTCTGCTGCTGAAATGAGAGCTGCAGGCTGTTACAGTTAGTTAGGCAATAACTCCTGCCCGTGTTCTTCTCTTTTCAGAAACACACTTTAAAAAAATAACTTGTGCAGAGTTATATTGTATTGTCTGGAATAGTTTTGCATTCCGTGTAAGTAAATTGCTTTCTTGAACCCTGAAACAATTAGAAAACTGTGTTCATGACCAAAGCGGAAGTTCAATACAAAACTGCAATCCCGTAAGAATAAACTGCACTCAGCTTTTTATGGTAATGTCTGAAGATGTGCCAAATAACACAGGTGCTCTCTAGCTGTGGACGCACAGCGTGGCTGTGGGGTCGCGCTTACAGCTGTGTCCAAAGGGTGGAAGGAGCACTAGAGAGAAATCCCCAAAGTGCAGGGTAACTATAGTTTGCCATAAGCTGTCTGATAGTTCTTGAAAACCAGCAGCATGGTGGGGCACCTACTTGCATCAGCCACGCACGAGGCTCCCAAACTCCATTTTTTATTATTGACTAAAATGTGTAATTGTTGCTCTGATACTGTGGATTGATTTTTGCATGAAATTGGAGTCATTCCTCATTCTGGGAGAAAAGGTGGCGCCCATGAACTTAAATTAAAGTCGCAGGTCTGAAAGTAGAAAGTGCTGTGCAATAGCTGTAAGGGTCTGGATGGAGAAGCTTGCATCTCTCCCACCCGAGTCAAGAAATAGTGCCCTGTGTTATTGCTTTCGGCTGTTTGACAGCTCGCATTCAGACCCAGGCGGTACGGTACTTAAAGAAGAGGACTTCTGAGTCCAGCACTGTTTGTACAGTATGCAGACATGCAAATAAATCATACACAGAAAGATTACATTAATTCAGAATATGGGGCTACGTGGCATCCAGCTCTTGGCTTGTTTGGCATCCTGAAAGCTTTGTCATAGCCAGAATTTCATGCCATGGATTGCAAGTTTTTTTCAGACATTGACAAATTCCTGACAGATTTTTGCTGCCATTCCCATTTATACCAAGAAGTCCTTCAAGTCACATTTTGATTAAACTTGCAGTTTAATGAAATTCTAATTTATTTTCACTCTGATTCAGGCGGATAAGGTAATCCCTTGTAACTCATAGCACAATGTGGCATGCTAGTAGGAAAGGCCAGCACAGTGGTCCAGCTGATAGCAGTGAGTAGCGTTTTAAGTCCACAGTAGAGTGAAAAGAGTGCAGCGAGGGCAAATTTCAGCAAATTGCACATCAGTGAGATATTCTGCTTTCTCACTTGGATTTATAAACTTATTGTCATGCAATGAAAAAAGTAAGAAGCTGCGGAGGTAATTAAATATTTGCCTTGGGGGATTATTTGCAGTTAATTAAAGCCACACACTTTCAGTGCATACCTGTTCTACCGATTATTAAATTTAGGTCAGATGTTAACAACCCAGCTTTTCCACTTATCCATCAGAGATTATTCTTGGCAAGTTTCAGGAACAGAGTTTTACCAGGGCGTCCTATGGTATAGTGTAAGATTTGTTCTGCTGTATTATAGAAAGGGACTTTCTAGAAGTAGAGTCTTAATAACACTGCCGTAATGTAATTTATTATCAGGCACCATAGATCTTTTGTCGATGTTACTTGAACTTATTATAAATAGTGATTATCTATTACCGTTAGTATTTCCTTAGGTTCACTTAACCCTGAAGTTTGCATGAATGTCCAGTCACTTAGATCAGTGGCCTTTTTTAACGAGGATCAGAGCTCTCTGTCCAGTAAAAACTGTTGTCAGTGAGCCGAACTAAAAAAGCGTAGCTGTGATTTCCTGACAGTAGTGGAATAATTCATTTTTTCATCAGTACACAAAAACTAAGGAGTGGCTTTTGTTAGCAAACGCTGTTTGACGTAGCAAAATAACGGCCTGTGCTTATGAAGACTGCAGATAGCGTAGAGATAGGATGTAAATTGGTTTAAATCCTCGCTGTGCCACTGGTTCAGGGTTTGGCTTCGGGCATTTCATTTTGCTAGTCTCCCCAAAAGCGAAAGAAGCCTTTGCCACAATAATGACCTTGGGAGTTCTGTCATCGAGTGAAATGAGGCTACAATTTGCACTGAGATTTATAGGACTTAATGTTTGTCAAGCATGTGGAAATCCAGCTATGAAAAGAACTAGCAATGCTCTAAAAATAAGTCACTTAATATGTCAAGTAGATAGTGCATGTTGTTTCCCATAGCTTTGTGCTACTCTGTTCATTAGAAATAAAGTTCTTGGTAATACTCTTGATTTTTCTTAGATACTTTCTCTTGCCAACTCTTTGTTTGAGGTTTGTACTGCAGGCCAAAAACTGTTCAGTAAATGTACAGATTCTGAAATGAATTTGAATAATTTAAACCCATGAGTGTACTTTTACGGTATATAAATCTGTGGTTAAACAGACAGAAAATGGGTCAGAGTACGAGAATGCCCATTACGAATCTAGCACCTAAGGGCTACCTGCGTCTGAGGTAACTACCAGCCTTTTCCCGTATGAAAGCCACTGCAGGATTTTTTCATGTGTTTGTTTGTTGTGTCCTCAGACTCCCCGAAGGACTCCAAAGGCGCACAAGAGAATGACCCAGTGCATCCCGCGGTGTGTGAACAAGATCAAGCCGAAGGTAAAGTTTTCTATCGAAGTTCTTAAAGACACAAATAACAAACCAGCTGGGATCTCTAGTTCTTCCAGTTACAGCATTCGGTGGTTTTCACCTTGACCTCTGCTGCCTTAGGAAAATGCCTTCAGCTGGTAGAGGTTGGGCACCAAACAGTCTTGGCACAGTAATCTCTGGTGTTACTGAAAGAGAAATAGGTCTCCAGATCCTGTGGTTTTAACCGTATTACTCCTGGGTCAGTGCATAGCATTATTATTATGCTTTTTCCCTTTTTTGCTTCTAAAAGCCTGTGAGATGATTGTGTTCTTCTGATAAGCTGTCAAGTGCGGATGGTTTGCAACAGCTCCTGTGAAAAACAATGTGTCGAGGCTGAGCTACAAAAAAAAAAAAAAGTGATACATGGTCAGTTTTGACCAGCCATTCAACATGCTTAATGTTTAGAGTTTATTAAACGGTGTGTTCATATATAAAATGATTTCAACATTGTTCATTTAATAGAAAAAAGCAATATTGGGCTGAAAGTAACATGATATATGTTGGGCTTGTGTCCTGTTCTGATGAACTTGCCTTTGCATGCATGCACAGCCATCATACTGATGTCATTTCCAATTTGTCGGGTTAACAGGACAAGAAGATGTTTCTGCAGAAGAGGAGATGAAAACTGGGACAGATTCCCAGAGCTCCTGCATGGAAGTAGAAGGTACCGGCCATGCCTTGAAACCAGTGAGCAGGATTACCAGGAAGCAAAATACCTGTTACTGCTCAGTCACCATCAGTAGTGTTTGTTTCCTTTGATTCTCCATACCTAGGAAGCCACATCTGTGGAACTGAGTCTTTTTATGGCAGCTCTGAATTTGACTCGGAGTAGGGGAGTAGCTATGGATTCTCGGCTCAGGTGGTGGAAGCTAATTTTTAACGCCCCTGTTAAAAAACGTGAACACTGTGTGTCTTATACCTGATTCCATGTGAGTCTCAAACATGAGGTGCTCTGAACGCTCTAGCCCCAGTCCAAGCAAACACTTTGGTAAATGTATCTTCGGGCTTGTGACTAGTCCCAGGGAAATCCCAAGCTTAGAGCTAGGCACGTATTGTTTTGTGCTCAGCATCTTGGAGGGTCAAGGCCTTGCTCTCAACTATAGCCCCTTGGATTTCTGTGAGATAGCTGTGGTATCGGTACTTCTGGGGAGTAGGATCCTCCTCTGCCGGTGTTTTTAAAGGTAATCTCTGTAGCGTATTTTAATCATTCTATACAAAGTCAGTTCTGTAGAACCTTAACCGTCGATCTTCTCTTTTCATCACATCTATTCAGAGCCATTGTTGAACCAAAAAGACACAACAGAAGCTGAGAAACCTTTGATTCCCAGTGCAGGTGAAGATGAAGAGGAAGAAAAAGAAGAAGAAGAAGGTGGAGGAGGAGGTAAGAAAGAGAGTTCTGCTGGCTTCATACATTGTCTCATTAATTATAGATATTTTCTTCCATTGCAAGGAAACATGGAAATAGTACGTAAAGGTGGTTGTTTTTTTTTTTAAGTATTCTTTCTTCCCTGTCGTTGGGTGTTGTTATGATGTATTGGTTTTGGATTCATATAGGAAAATAAGTGCAAGAAAGTACATAATCAGATTCTAAAGTGACTTTAAAATAAACACACTTCTCATTGTTGGTTTTCTATATTAATGTGCATAAGGCTGATTAAACAAGCAATTTATGTCTATTTAAGTACCCTGTTGATCATGTTCACTAGAAACGTTGAGGATATTTACAATAAATGGATATGAAAATGATTTGTGAGGTCATTAGTAGAGATTTAACTACTAATTAACTAAAACTAGTAATTCTAATAAAGAAACCAATATTTAGAGCAGGAACACATAGAGTCTTACTGAAGCAATAAATTTTTCTGAGAGTAAAGTATTTAAATCCCTAGTAATGCTTTTGCAAAGAAACTCAGAAGTTCAGTTTTCAGTATTAGACACTCTTCTGGGAGCCTTGCATCCAGCTGATCATTTGTAGTAGTCATATGATTGCATAAAAAGCAATATATTGTGTAAATAAATCCCTAACTGTAAACTAACTGCAAGTTAATAATTATATGGTCTTCTGTAGAGCACAGAGATGAATTTTACAGTTGCAAATTAAAACCCAGACGCGATCTTTACTGAAAATTCAGGTCAATATTAACTGTGTTGTCCTAATTATGAACTCCTTTTCCCAGCCCCATTGACATCAACTTAATGGCAAACCTGCGTTAGTAATATTGACACTTATCTTCATTGCAAGCCCAGGTTAATGGAACCTCTTTGTTCATATAGAGCTAAACAACATTTCCTCTCTTCTTTTTTCTTTTTTACCTATCCAAGTTAAGATTAATCTCATTTCTTTATTACTAGTCATGTTTTTGGTATCGCTTTCATGTTTTTGGTATCAGTTTCATGTTTTATTACTTATGGTGAAAACAGAACGGATATAATCCTTACTTCAAATCCAGGTAAATGGTTTTGCTCTCCTTCTATTGCAAATCCAGGTTATTTAATACAAACTCACACTGATTGCAAATACCAAAGTCGTTATGTTAATTTCCTCCTAATAGAAATTATTTACATTTTATTTTATGCCTCATCAAAAGCAAGTTGGACAAAATGTACTTTCATTATTTGTACATTTCCGTCTCTTTAATACGTTAGTGTCTCCTACAGCTAGTGACTGTCATTTAGCTCTCAGTGGAGAGATTATATTTCACCATCTGTTCTACCTAATATTAAAATAAGCAGCATTAAAGAAAAGGTAATGTCAGAAAAGGGTTGTTCTTGGCACTTCTCCTTTTCCTGCACCTTATTTAAAAAGTTCTCGTACTAAGTAAGTAAATGATTATTTCCAAACATTTTGGAACACATTCCTACCTTGGGGCTCAGATATTGCTCCTGTACAAGATTAATCTGATCCAAAGCTCATTAAAGTTTATTGAAAAACTCTCGTTTACGTAAGTGAGCTTTCAATCAGCTCCATAATAAGAGGAAATGCTGGGCTGAGTCTGTGCACAGGGCAGCAACACTTAGGTAACTGCACGGGTACTCTTAGTTTCTTCGGAATACACTGGCTTTGAGTCAGGGAAAACAAATCAATTCTGTTTCAGCTTTTAAGGAAGGAAAGGAAATTATGGCTTTCCCTTGCTTTGTTTCATTCTTAATGGGTGTATGACCCTCAGAACTCATCTTGCTAGATACGTACAGTTTTGATGGGCACATATTCTGCAACGACGGATTTGAGAGCCACAATGCAAGGTGGTTCTTTACGAAAAGAGTATAAAAAATCAACCTAAGTTCAGGCTGATAAAATAATCCATATTCCCCAGAGAGAATTTCCATTAGAAAGAGTCCACCTGGCGTAAAACAGAGATTTAATATGTAACGCTATTTCGTGAAACACAAGTGCTACCACATAAGCTAATTCAGTTAAATTGTTTCCCTGCAGCATCTACAGTACATTTGAAGTACAATAAAATGGCGTATTTTTGTCTAAGAACACTCGAAAAAACCTAACATGGGGCTGTTATTCCCATTAAATAGAAACCCAGTCATAATACTGGATCTTAAGCGTCACGACATTGCTCTTGACCTGTGTTAAATCTACATGCATCGCCAAATGTAGCAACTGCTAGACTGCAGACAACCTGCTCTGTCTTTTCTGCCTTCCTCTATTCTTTTGATACTTTCTTTTTGTGTTAGCAAACTCATCCCGGAGCAAAGGGCAACACGTATCTGCCTCTCCCCTCTCTCTCTCACTGGGAACCATTAGATTAGTGGGAGTCGTCCATGAGCTGTGCTGTCCCCATTGCTGGAGCTCTGGAAGCTACTAAATGACCAGCAGAGATCAAAGTCCCTTTTCCAGCCTATAGCTGTAGATGTCTGCTTGGTGGCAGATTGTATCTTTAAAGCCAGCTAGTAATTTTCTGGTGGTCTGGAAAAATGGCTGTTTCCTGATGTTTTCTAAATGGATCTCTGTTTTCACAATTTTCTGATGGAACGCGGGTAAGCTGCCGATCGAATGTGCGCTGGTTTTACTACCAGCTCTTCTAATGTGCGGCTGGGGGTTTTAAGGCTTGCAGAGTCCTTTCTGTATAGCCTGTTAGGATTTATGGCTCCAGGGACCCTCCACAGTGCACATTATGATGGCGTTGTGGATCCTCGGGCTTTCGAGCCTGTGGGCACAGGGAGTCCAGAGGGCTGAAGAATCAAAGTTTTAGCAACTTTGCCACTGTTTCCCATTGCCTGGCTCTTTGAAACAAGCCAGATTACCTTGAAGAATTTAACGACATAAGGCACTGTGTTTATTTTCACAAAAATCTGGAGTTTCATTTTCAAAAATCAGTAATGCAATATAGCTTGTGCGAATTACTCCTTTTTCTTCCTATTATAACAAAGTTGCGTATTACTAGGGAACGACTAAAGAAAAGAGACAAACTACGAAGCTTTTTTTTATTTTTTTTCCAGGTAGTTTAATGCAGTTATTCTAGTTCACAAAAGAATAATGAAAATCTATATTTCTTATAAGATTAGGGAATATTCTCAAATCCCTTTATTAAAAAGCAGAGTAAGCGGTGACCTATTTGCTGACTAGGGAAGTGTACACATTTTTAATACTTAGTTTGGCAGCCCTTTATACCTATGCTTAGAAATAGTTCTGTCATGTTCTAATGACCATGCTCTCAGTATTTAGTTGTAGTTTGAATCAGCTCAGTTTTTCTACAAGACAACTTACAGCAAATGGAAATGTAACTCTGTTTTTGGGTTTTTTTGTGTGTGAATATGTAGTCATTCCCTACTCTGAGCCTGTTTTCCCATCTTTATCTTCCTATTTCCTACCGCCTTGTCTCTCGTTGCATAAAGACATGTGACAGGATGATTTTCCTCACCTGTCATCTCTAGAAATTGCTTAACTCTTTGGAGGATATGATTTCTATCAGAACAGTAGTATTTGAACAGAAGTGACCATTATTTCTCTGTTTGCTCCTCTTCAACATTCAGGCTCAAATACTTTGTCTTATTGTCATCACACTGTTTGTAACATTATTAGAGCATTTGCAATGCTTGAAGAGCTCAACACTGTATTTGTATTTTCATTCCAGTTCTGTCAGAAACTCTTCTGTCAGGCCAAGGCTGCTAACTAGTCCAACTCTGGCTGAACCTTCACCTCTGTCATTTTTCAAACTTTCCGTCAGTTGAATTAAATCCTTTCAATGCGATTTTGACTTGGGAGGTTTCTCCACGCAAGAAATACATTTAAAACCAACTCATTTTATTTCTCAGTAAGATCTGAGCACAAAGTGCATCTCTGAGTTTCAAGAAATAGTCTTTAGTGTTTCATTCTGATGGCTGAAGCCGTACAAGAGACCCTGACGTCATGACAGTGGGCAAGAGGAAAGGGGTGAAGGCGCCGCACACACCGCTGCCTGGTTATTACGGCACGTTCATGCGTGCCCTAAAATTGTGGTTGGGGCGGCAGCCGCCCTGGGAAAAGAGCACGTTCCATTTTCTTGTGCAGAACTCCTGAAATGCAGCAACAGGTTATTGCTGAAGCACAATCAAGGAGCAAAGTGCTGTAATTAATGCCTGTAAAGGGTATATTAAAGGGCTTAGGGATTTAGCTAAGAGCAGGACACAGCCTATGCAATTAGCATTTGTGTGCAGTCAAATCCTAGGCTGTTTGAATCCCATGTTTAGGGAATGGTGTTAACCATCTTTTTGTGTATGGACTATGTTAAAGCAGGCTCTGAATGCACAGGTGGGGGAGGGTTAACTTTTAAATCATTTGCGATATGCGTGATTTCTTGTAATGCCAGACTTTTGGTCACTGCCCATCTACTGTAAATTTGCATTCTGCCTGATTTCTCTACTATCGAAGCCCAGTTTTGCTCAAGAGTTTGTTTTTTGTGAATAGTCATGTAACTTCGCAGCCATCATTTTATCTGTTCTTCATTTAAACAGCTAGATTTCCAGGTCATTTACCTATCTATGCTTTAGGAATAATTTTACAGTATAATCTTAGAATCAAATATTCCAAAACTTGGAGGAAAAGTTCTCTCCATTTTTCTACAGTTCCATTTTTAGGATTTTTACATATTTGGTGTGGTTGCAAATATTGTCAGAAGAATGTTATTCTTTGATTCTTTGAGCATTGTGGTTATAGAGAAACAAAATACTTCTTGAAAAAGATCTTTTGCGACACATCTGATAGACATGACAATTGTAACTAGCTTTCATTTTTTAACCATACGTCTCTTCAGCTTCAAGTGGAGATGGATGAGACATCTTGGAAATTATAGATTTTAAGTTCTTCTTTAAATATCTTTGAAAATTTCTTCCTTTTTGTTTCGGGGAACAAAATGAATCCTAAAATATTTTGGAGTGTGATTTCTGAAG